AAAAAAAAAAAAACTATTCTAACTATTCAGGCCGCTTTTTGTAGCTCCAAAACCTTAAACCTAAAGGCTCAGGGCGAATGCAAGGCTTCAGGGAGAGAGTGCAGCCCAGCAGCCACATCCAGAGAGCCGTTGAAAAGGCTTTTGAAGCCCGTCTCCCCCAAGGTCCTGATTTAGGCTTAGGGTTTTGTACGGGTTTTAGGCTTTAAGGCCTAGGGCCGAAACCCTAAACCGTGGTTTAAGGCTTCGTTCGAGGATTGTGGCGCCTCTGCTCGTGAAAGGGACTAAAGGACATGATCCGATTGCTCAACGATCGGGCTGCTACATACTTAACCGATGATAACGGTCGTAGCAATTCAGAGTGCTAGCAGACAGCAGCCAATAACAAGCACCTGCTGCGGAGACGACAACCAATTACTGCCTCTGAGACAGGTACAACCGTCGTCTTAGTGGTCGATCTTGACGTCGATCTTGTGACACACGGTTATAACAGTCAGATCGACAACTCACATAGCGAAAATAGGAGTCATTGCAAGAACAAACTAACCAAGGCCGGGAGATCGAGCTGTGCATGGCAAGATCTCCACCTCATGCATCACTAACTTCAGTCGCCGGCTCGCTTGAGGCTTTCGCACAGTTCAAGTACGTACAAGAGCCGTGCGGACCCAACCTGTATTCGGAATTCGGATTCAACCTTGGCCGTTAGAGCGCGATGGGCGGGGTTCGGGAAATGTAGTGGGTGAAACAATAACGTAGCTAGACCCTAAACCCTAAACCCTTTACCCTTGAACCCCCCGTCTTCAACCCTTTCTACAACCCAAGCGAATCCCCCAAACAAAAATGTATCAACTAAAGCCTTGAAACCCTAACACTTACAAATCCTCAAGCCCCCAACCGACGCTCCCTGACATCGCGCCGCCCAAAGGAGGAACCCAGGTGCCGCATGAAACCGCCCATCAAGGCGTTCATTGCTGACAAAGTTAGGGTTCAGGGTTTAGGGTCCAGGGTTTCGGGTTTTCGGGCTTAGTATTTAGGGTTGGATCTTCTACAGTTTGTGTAGAGGTCTGGGGTTTAGGACTTTGAGCTTGTGGCGCAAGTGTGGCTTAGAGGGACCCTAAACCCTAAACCCTGAACCGACTTAGAGGGTTATTGCAAGGCTTCTGTGGGGTGTAGGGTTGGGGTTGAGGACCTAGGGCGTAGTGGGAACAGCGACTTCGTGAGGGTTTAGGGTTTAGGGTTTAGGGTTTAGGGTTTAGGGTTTAGGGTTTAGGGTTTAGGGTTTAGGGTTATGAGTTTGGGTGTAGGGGTTGGTTGAAAGCCTGGCTTCACAGTGCAAGGAGTGGGTGGCATTTCGGGCTCTGGGCTTGTAAGTTGCGGGATTCATGAGCTGTGGGGTCGGGCGTGTGCTAAGGATGTGTGGGTTCACACTTCCATGTCTATCTGCCAGCAACTCAATTCTTATGCG